AACCCGACACCGCGATCCCTAAACCCTAAACACTGCTCCCACCCACACACACACACACACACACACACACACACAGAGAGACACACACACAGACACACACACACACAGAGACACACACACACAGACACACAGAGACACACACACACAGACACACAGAGACACACACACACACACACAGACACACACACACACAAAGAGACACACACACACACACACCAACCACAGACACACGCTCGCGTCAACAGCAGCGACAACAGCAGCAGCAACAACAATCACAACGACAACAGCGACAGCAATACGAATCATCGTGATCGTCGTATGTGGTATGTGCAAGGCCTTCCCTGGCCATCTCTGGGGCCTAGCGCCGCCTCTTGGGCTGCAGGGATGGCCAAGTCTACGTTTGGGGTTCTTTCTGGGCTTAGGGTCGGTGTTGAGGGTTCAGGATTTAGGGATTGTGGTTGAGGTCGGAGAGGGGGTATCAGACGTGTCAGACAGCAGGTTTTCCTGCTTGGGCAACTGTGGCTGCGATGCTACTAGTGCAAGATGGGACAGGATGCAGCCATCTTCGTTCAGTCTGTGACAAAGCTCCCCTACTGAAGAACCCGAGACAGCGATCGAGAGAACTGGCACGTTCCTGTTCATCCGCCACTGCGGATAGACTCAGGCCGTTTCGGTCCTTTGTCTACGGTCTTGGTCACGCGAGGCAAGCGGCAGACAGGCGAGGCAGCAGAGCTTCAGGTTGTGGAGCGCGCGGGCCTGTCGAATCTTCTAAGCAACACATTTACAGACGACTCTGACTGCGCTGTGGTCCGTACAGATTTGCCTTGTCAGATCTTTCTGTCAAGCGCACGCGTGCCGAGACGTAGGCATCAACGTGTGTGTGTGTGTGTGTCTACCTGCATAGGGACATGAACCCAAACCCGAAACCCCTGAAAATCTCTTGAACTCCCCTTGGCTAGGGCGCCAGACCTGGACTTGCCAGCCCGAGCCCGGGAGTTGGCGGTGAAGGAGGCAGGTCCTTTTCATGACCCAGACTCAGACGTAAAGGAACATCCCGATATCTCTGCTTCTGGGGATCATCTGATATCCCAACCTTGTTGCTTTATGCTTCGAGTCTAGCTTGAGGGTCCCTATTTCAGAGACCCAGAGCACGGAGCAGAGATCCAGAGCACGGAGCATTGCATCTCTCGTTACTGTACTTGGATGGGCTGGTCATGATAGCTACAGTTCTGTGTGTCCACTTGTCGCATGGAGGCCGGGGAAGCGGGCGATGAGGAGGCATGGGAGAAGGGTTTGTGGATCTGAAGTTGCAGATAGTTAATATACATATCTACAGATATGTATATGTATATAATTATATATGTATATGTATATATATATATATACACACACAAAGTAGATATGTATAGATGTATATATACATATGTATATGTATATAATTATATATGTATATGTGTATATATATATGTATATATATATATATATACACATAGTAGATATGTATAGATGTATATATACATACATATATATATATATATGCACAGATATTTACACACATCTATATCTATATCTGTATCTATATCTATATATCTATATACATATATGCCTGTATACCTTTCTATCTATATACATATATATATATATATGTATCAGTATATCTATATATCTATATATATATATCTATATCTATTTTCTGTATCTACATCTACATCTATGTATATATATATATATATAAATTATTGGTTTTGAGTTTTGACTGAGATAAATACATGTGGCGTAGTATGTACGAACACAGCGCAGAATGTTTCCGAAGCGCCTGTTTGTAATTGCACTTTTTATAATTTTGCATGATAATCGCTGTGGTTCCTGCGCGAGGCAGGAGCGCACTCCTTGTTGTTTAGGGTTTACGGTTTAGGGCATGGCATCAGGTTGAGGATCTTGGCAGCAGTGATGTTCACGGTACTCCGTACCGGGTGCCTGGGCAACGCTGAGACGCGGAGGGTAGATCATGCAGGGGGGTCATGCAGATGTGCATGTTCATGTGACAGAGGTGTCATATTGGCGACACTCGCACACACACAAAACTCTTGTTGCACAAACGGATGGGCAAATACAGAACTGTACCTTCGACACTAGCTAGATTTTCAAATTCGGGTGAACAGTCATACAACAACAAGTCAATGAATGAGAATACATTACAATCTATTAATCATGTCTTTTCGTATCACATCATACCACATCATGCAAAGTTTTACTTTATGCTAATATTGTATCCTATATATATATAAGATAGATAGATCGATAGATAGATAGATAGATCGATAGATAGATAGATCGAGTTATGTGTAAACATACGCAGCTTCGTTGCGCTCCGTTGCAAGATAGGTTGGATGCGTAGTTTTGTCAGGCGTGGCTCGACTTCGAGGAACGGGCACTACAGCGCTGTGGTGCCTGGCGGGGCCCGGAGGTGGTGCAGGTGCGTCGAGACAGTGCCTTACACCTCAGCCCCAACCCGACAATTGTGAGCCCGCACAGAGGCAAGCAAGCACTTTGCACTAGGGTAGGACGGTGTATCCAAAAGTTGAAGTGTGTGAGGTGTGGGGTATGGGGTTTGGGCCCGTGCAGGCTTCTTTGTGCTGCGGGGTGCGCGCCTTGCGTGCAATGTTCCGGGTTTCTGATTTTCAACACGGCACTTCTGCTGTAGTGCACTTCGTCCTGGTCCTAGTAGGGGTCTTGATTGGATGGATGCCCGCATCGTTGTAGCCAGGTCCTGCATGCATGCGCAGTGGCACAAAGGCGGCCAAAGCGTTTGCTCGCCAAGCTTTCGAAGGCATCCGAGTGGTCCTGTCATGGACTTTCGAGATAAGGGTTTGGTCTTGTTATTGGGACTTGGATCACAAGTCTAATGAATGAGTCAGCAATAGGCACATGGCCGCGATATCTTCATACTTGCAGCAGGATGTAATGCCAAGTGTAACGAATACCGAAGAAATGAGACCAGTCCCGCCGCCAATCAAGATCCTTTACTCGTACCCTGCACGAATGGGTCTTAAGTTTGAGCACATTCAGTGAGATCAGTTCGACAGAGCAACGCCCAGGAGTCGTTGCAATAAGCTGTTCGAGTGCCAAGGGACGTTCGCCAGCAAACGCGCGCTGTTCCAGTGACGAGCAAGCATGTGAGTATGTGTAGTGTGCAGAACATGCCATCCGCCTGAAGTCTGCGCAATGTCAGGAATGTTTGTTTTGGCTCTTCCTCCTGACCCTAAACCACCGGTCTTTGCATGCTTCTTCCGCCCATGACAGAGCAAGTTTGATATCTGGCCCTGCTTCAGTAGAAGGAGGAGAATCGGTAACTCAGCTCGTGCCTTCCAGGACATCCCCGACAAGATGCCCCAGTTCGATGTGTCAGCACTGTGTTCCGCGGCTGACTTCTGCATTGCTACACCTGTACAAAGGCCTCACAAGACTCACAGGCGTCCTCTGTTTTGAGGGTTCCAGATTGGGGCAGTCCCATGTTTTCAGAAGCAACTCTGTGCCGTCCGTGTCCTTCTCAGGCGTTTGCTTGCACACCTTCGCACAGCTGCGCTCCCGAGACGCTTCCTTGTTCTCGGTGGTGACACGACGACTGCTGCAGCCCGATCACAGGGAGGAATCTTGGCAGCTGCAGTATGTTGCGTTTCAATCGGTTGCGTCGCGAGCGAAGGCTACATGTAGAAGAGTTATATACCCTCGCCATACAGTACATAGAGATGTTGGATTTATGCCAGAGTCAGAGAGAGACGGAGCAGACGACTCTGGTTGGGCTGAAGAAGAAGGGGAGAGAGCTAGACAGAGCTGTGACTCTGACAAGACAAGAGGAGTTTCGCTGCTACTTGTTCCATTGTGCTGTGTACTGCCGGCACGAAATTGTGCTGTGTTTTCCTCCCCCAACACCAGCATGAGGGGCCTTTCGGCACGGGAGGGACGCGAGAGGCTTACACGCGGTATGCGCACTGATAGACAGAAAGAGCGAGAGTTTGGATCTGAGGAGCTGGGCCCATCTCATCTCTCCTCGCTGCTTTATTCGCATGCGCGCATCCTTGCTTTTGACAAAGGTCTCGTGAGGCGGGCTCTACCAATGTTGTGTAACTAGCTTGGCAGCCTTGAGCGCTGCTTTGCCTTGGTTCTCTGCAGCGGATACCGCCTCTTCAGCATAAATTCGTTGTCCTACGCCTTGAGGCTTAGTTTGCAAGCATATCCTTCCTGGTCAGCCGTCGATGTAGCACATGAACTTATCTTGAAATGGTTCCATGCACAAGTGCACACGGAAAGGATCAAACCAATCAAAAGGACAGTGGCGATGTGCATTCGATACAGTACATGTGCAGGCTCGCACAGAAGAGCCTGTCGGACGACCGCCGTGCTTTTGAACTGGAGGAGCGCTTCCCGACGGCTTGGGCTAATATGACCTCGGCTCCTTGCTTCAGGACTTGGCGACGGTGCTTCAAGCATTCGCGACGCTGCGCTTGGGCCACAGACTGTAGGAGTCTCGGAGAAGGTCCAGGCTGCAAGGCTTGTGCCTGAGTGCAACTGCCGCTGTGAGGCACTGGCCGTAGCCCAGGTGCAGAGGACGTCCGCCTCTCCGGGAACAGCGCACGTCGCGTGGCGAAGGCAGCAGCCGCAGCGCCGCTGCCACTGCTGGCGGACCTTCTCGAGGCGGGTGCCGGTTTTCGGCACGGGCTTCGGATCCGGAGGATGACTGAGACGCGGGCTTCCGACGGCCCCCGGGCTAATGTTCGCGATTCGAGAAGCGCAAGCGCTAGATGGAGGATTTAGATATGGGTTCTTTGTGAGGACAGTGTCCGGTCGCTCAAGGGACTGTCGTTGTCATCACGCTCCTCGCCCGGCTTTTCAGAAGCTGACAGTTACAGTGGCTGTCCAGGGTCTGATTTCTGATTGCTTGGCGGTTGAACGGAAGCTCCATCGACACGCTGCGAACAGCTGTGGCCCAAAGCACAAGACAAGATCCTAATGCACTTGCCGCTTCTCTCCACAGTCCTCCGATACCGGCATGTACCAGAGGCCCTTGGGCTGTCGGGTTCCTCCCGCCCCAGCCCGCCGTACCCCCTCCCCAATGTCACAGCGATCGCCATGGCCTCGCCAAGCAGCTGGATGTCGTCCGAACCCTACACGGAAGCCAGGTTGCGAGATGCCTCAGCCATCCTCAGCCTTTCGCCGCCGGTGGCCACAGCACACAAGTTCAAGTGATGACCAGTAGTAGGTTCTCGTCCAAGAAAGTCCAAGCAAGTCCAAGCATTTCAGGTCGCTGGTGGCCGGAGCTCTTACTGGGTTCCTGGTCATCTTTCGCGACGTCAGCACCCAGGCAGCACCGAGAGACTTTTTCAAAGGATGGCAGGGTCGCACTCAGCTCAAGCTAGGTCTGCTAGGTTCATGGCCTGGCATCATATACCACAGGTATTCAATATCTTTAAATCCATGCAAATCCTTCACCCTCAAAACGTGAGACTCGGATCATCGACAAGCCAAGAGCCAAAGTGGGAAGTCCCATAGGCTCTCTAGACTCCAGATACCAAGGAACATCAAGAAGCCGATATCTTATCCCCTAGACATCGACCCAAATTCTCTAACTCCTCAGCGCCCCTTAGCCGAGGTTTCGCGTTGGTCTACTGCGCACCCAAAGTGCTGCGCCCACATCAGGTGACCGCACTCCTCCATGTGAGGGAGATCGACTCTTCAGGTTTACGTAAGATGCAAGGTTTGGGGAAAGGATCTGGGATGACAGGGGAAGCAATGTTAGAGTGTTGCCGCTATGGCTCTAGAGCTAAGAGGGGTTGAAGAGGTTCGAAAAAGTTTGACCGGCTTCGACCGGAAACTTGGATTTCTGTTCTTGGATTTAGCATGGCCGCACCAGTGCAGCGGGGCATGTTTCATGCATCGTATTACGAAGAGTCAAGAGTCTCTCGGTGTCCGAAGTATCGAAGCGCGATGTTCGGTCTCGTTTGTCGCTAGCACGAAGCCTCGAACCCCTGAGGGATTGTTCAGAGGGATTGTTCAAGAAAAGGACTCTATCTCGGTGTGTGTGTGTGTGTGTGTGTGTGCGTGTGTGTGCGTGTGTGTGTGCGTGTGTGTGTGTGCGCATGTATGCACAAACACCACTCGGATCTTAATGGCTGAATGCTTGTCGTGACTGCACGTTACAAAAGTGCATACTGCTGCATACAGCAACAATCAAGAGGAGCACTGCTGTTAACAAGTAAGCCGGCCCCAAAACAGTGACAGAGCACCATGACGACCACGACGACCAGGACCACCATGACGACCCGAACGACAAGGAGGACCAGTGCCCGGACCAGGAACGCCACAAAAAATGCCACACGCTTCAGCAGACCAAGCCACGCCAGGCGACAACCGGGAAACCAGCAGGAGACGCCACAACAAACCACGAGGAGACTACTGTGCCGGAAGCCGGGGCAAACCTAACCGCAGCGGTAGTTGGCGGAACGTGGTGCACCTCAGGCGCTGTTTCAGCCATGTACAGGCACCACAGCAGCAGTTGGAGGAACCTTCTGGGTCCTCGCGCCCACTTCTCTCTCCACCCAACCTAAGACACCAATAGTTAGTGTGTACCAGACTGTTTGGAGAAACACAGCAACGGGAGAGGCTATCCCATTGAACGGAATCATCAATGATGGGGGCTCCACTGCCCGGAGCGTCAAGCTTTCATGACTGCCAGGCAGCGGTAACTGCCTCGCTGCTGCTTTCTTCAGCAGTCGCTCAATGTGTTTCTGGGTCGCTGTTTGGCAGCTTTTCAAAGTCTGCTGCATCGGTGACTGCTTCAAATTTGCCATCCTTCTAGTCGCCGTCAAACTCCAACCGTATCTGTGCCTTCGCTACAGGACCTGTAGTCCTTAAGTTCGGGAAACTCCATCTGAGCTCGCTGCCCCACCGAGGTGTATTCTTGGCGGCACAGCTTTCCCACAGTCGTGGCCTGCGCTTCCTCCTTGGCTGTTCCGTTTCAGAGAGCCCAGTCTGCAAGCTTTGTGCACACAGACTTGCTGAGTGTAATCAAGTAGGCTATCTAGCTTTCACATCAGAGCCTCGTGTGGGACATGTTCTTCTCTTCGTCAGTTCTTGCATAAAGAACCTCGGGGAGCAAAAAGGCGCTGTTTCTGCATCGATTGCGAGCTCCTTGGGCCGACGCTCCGAGTCAGTTCTGGCAACAGCTGCTCGCTTCAAGTCGACTCTGCATCGGTTGAAGATAGGGTCAAGGGATGTCAAGGGCCTAGGGGTTCAGGGTTTAGGGTGCACGGAGGTTTGCAGGACTGTTCTCGGGAGTTTTCTACCTTAAGAGGTCAGTTTGGAAGCCCAGAAAGCCTCAGTCCAAGAGCTTCAGTCCCTGAGAGGTTCTGGCAACCTTCTCGCTGACGGCCCTGGTCTACGGACTACTGGTCTTCCTCCTTTCCTTCGTGCCCATCCTGGACCACCCTTGCAACCCCAAAGCCTGAAGCACCTGTAGCCTGTAACACTGTAACCCTTTTTGAAGGAATTTCACGTACTCTGAAGGGAGGTGTCCACTTCCACCTGTAGGACCATCTCAAAAGCGCCTTCCCGCAGCCGGTGATGTGCGCCTTCTTCCTGGTTGCAGGCGCAGAGCACCCGGTATGGAGAATTTTGTCACCTCACATCAAAGCCGAAGCCGGAGCAAACCCTGAGAGTGCTCAACGCAAGGGCACGGTTGTTGTACAGAGGAGTTTGCAGTTTGTGTGTGTTGTTGAATTCTGAGACTCGGGTCGAAATATCATCGTGCCTGTGCATCTTCTCGGACCACTTTGCTAACACGGGAGGTGTAGAAGTCCCCTGAGCGGAAAGCTGAGACCTGAATTCGAGCCACTCTCGGATTTTGCTATGTCAACGTACACTCGTCGTTGTCGAAGTCGTTGTTGCGGGCATGGTGGTTGCGGCTAGATAACCTGTCCAATCTGTTGTGGGCGTTGCGGATGGCAATCCTTCCCCTACTCCTCCCCTACCACTACGCCTACTACTACTACTACTACGACGACTACTACGACTACGCCTACTACTACGACTACGACGACTTCTACGACTACTAGTATGACTACTACTACTACTACTACTACTACTACTACTGCTACTACTTTTACTACTTCTACTTCTACTACTATACTACTACTATACTACTACTACTACTACTACTACTACTACTACTACTACTACGACTACGACTACGACTACGACTACGACTACGACGATGACGACTACTACTACTACCACTTCCACGACGACTACTACTACTACTACTACTACTACTCATACTAAGTTACTACTACTGCTGCTGCTGCTACTACTACTACTACTACTACTGCTACTGCTACTGCTACTGCTACTGCCACTGCTACTGCTACTGCTACTGCTACTGCTCCTGCTCCTCCTCCTCCTCCTACTCCTACTCCTACTCCTACTCCTACTCCTACTCCTACTCCTACTCCTACTCCTACTCCTACTTCTACTTCTACTCCTACTGCTGCTGCTGCTGCTGCTGCTGCTACTACGACGCCGACGACTACTACCACCACCACCACCACCACCACCACCACCACCACCACCACCACCACCGCCAACACCACCGCCGTCGCCACCACCACCACCACCTCCTCCTCCTCCTCCTTCTCCTCAACAACTGCAGCACAGAAGCGCGCAGCAGCAGCCACACCAACTACAAGCACAACAACACGAACATCATTAACATTAACATTAACATTAACAACAACTACAACAACAACCACAACAA